AATTATTGTTCCTGATGGTGTTTTCTATTTGCATTTGGATAATTTGTATTTGGGAAATGTTGAGATTACGGAAATTATGAATCAAATTTTGAATTCAAATAGTTACTATTTGTTCGAATTCCTTATTCCGGTTATTGAAAAGAAAGTTAATGATATTTTGGGAAAATCCATTGATAAATTTTTGGAAACTTATAAATATTCCCAGTTATTTATATAAGTTAAATGGATTACTTTCATTACGTATAAGATAAGTATTTAGTGAAATATAATAATGGCACTTTTGTACTTGTACTTTTGAATTTAATGCATAAATCTATAATAATACATAATAAAGTAAAAGAATCAAAGCAATTTAATTGTTATTATTTGTTCATCCTTTAGATCCGGTGAACCACGTAAACCACGGTAAATTACCCCTAATGGGGAAATACTTGTGGGTAATTAAAACGTTTACAACTTAAAATATTGTACATTTTTGGATGTTAAAAGTTGCAAAAACTTGTAAAATTCCAAATGAGATAACACTAAAAAGTTGCTGCTTTTATAAATAACCTATCTTTTGTTCCCATTCGATTCATCGCCGAGGTAAATATATTTTGGGATAATAAGTGAAAAACTTCCCCGTTCGCTGCTTTAGATATTAACATATTCAAGTAAAAACAACATAATTGTTGTACAAATCTATGATAAATGAACCATCAAAATCTTATTTACTTGATTTTATATTTTTATTTATTATTTTTTAAGTTATATTAAATTGTTATACCATTAATTTCCATAATTCTTTCTTTCATTTTACAGTTAATATTTTTTTCACTTACATACAATTTATGTTTAAATATTTCTATCAAATTAATTATGTTTATTATTAGAATGTATTCCAAAATAAATGAGAAACGTGTTTAATAAATTATTTTTTTAAGTTGTATTCAAATGTATCTTAGTCATTTATTTTTATTAAATATATATATAAGCCAAAATGCGAGAAAATAACTTAAAACTAAAATGTTCATCCACGTTGCAGTTGTATACTCAATAGTAGTCATTGTAAATGCTGCAGAATTACGTAAGTACATATCAGTAATTTACGAAATAATACTTTAAATAATTGAAAGATTTTAGCTCCGTTCATAACACTATGCAGACAAGAATCCTTGGATCTGAACGGATGCATTTCGAATAATATAGAAGCTGCAAAACCATATTTAGCGGAAGGATTACCCGAACTATCCATACCGAGCTTAAATCATCTCATTATTCCTTACTCGTATGTGAACACATCCAACTATGAGTTCGGATTATGGAACTACAATATAACAGGGCTCGAAAATTTCAATGTTCTAAAAGTTGATGCAGATCTTAAGAAGAACCTCTTCAAATTCCAAATTGAGTTTCCTTTTTGTGAAGGTATAGGGAGATATGGATTGAAAGGCAACTTGTTCAATTTGAATTTTGATAGCACAGGACCAGTGGAAGCTAATGCCAGTAAATTATAGTCTTTCTTCACAAGTAAATTGAAATATTTTTAATATATTATTGTTTCAGCTAAATTAATTTTGGATTTTGAACTAAAGACCAAGTTAGTTCAACGCAATGATATCACTTACTTTCAGCAGGAATACAGGCATATCGATGCAAGTACTGATGGTGTTTTACACATTTATATGCATAATTTGTATTTGGGAAATACGGAGATTACAGAAATTATGAATAGAATTTTGAATGAAAATAGTTATTATCTGTTTGAGTTTATTATTGAAACTTTTGAAAACTATTTAGATAATCTTCTAGACAAAGCTATTGATAATTTCTTCGAAATTTACACGTACGATGAGCTTTTGCTTTGAGCAAAAAACATTAATATTAAATTAAATAAAAAATATGTTTATATTCAAAATATTTTTATTTAAATTTTTTTATATAGTTTTTATAAGATATTTATAAATAAAGAAAATACAATAATGCCACTTGTGATTTCTACGGTCAAGCTGAAATTTCCTGAAGACAATCTCTTGAACCATTTCTGTTCTGTTAGATGACTTACAAACGTGGTACATATTTTGCGTGCCCCATTAGTTTTGGTATCAAATAAACAAACTCGAATTAAAGTTTTATTCGTTGCCATTTTCAAATATTAATTAAACAAATTTTTAATTGAAAAAGTATAAGATTGATTTATATTAAACTAGATGACACTTTATAAACAACAACAAGATATTTATGGCAATCTGTATTAAAAAACCACATAAACTTTTTTGGCAGTTGACATTTGAATTTAAATAATCTGTATGTAGAAGAGATGGTAATAATTATTATTCTGAATCAAATTCTTAGTCACTTTCAAAAGAATATGAATATGTACTATATAATCAGTATATGTAATAATGTTTTTTTGTGTATTGTTGCAATGAACATTGTTTAATATTTAGTATATTAATTTCCAATCCAATATATTAAAATAGTTTTATATTTGTAGGTATTCTTTATTTTTTTCTTCAAAAATTTCAAGTAAGGGATGATTTATAACTTTAATAACGGATCGAATTGAAGCATAATAAATATAATTTTTGTACGAATTATAATTTACAGTTGTTTTTCTGTTTATTTTGTTTAAATTTTGAGTTTGGAATAATATTTACTTTATTTTTAAATATTCCATATTAAAAAAAATGTTGTTATTTCAAATTAATAATTTTTAAAATATGTTTTATATCAGTGATTCCCAAAATAGTCTATATCGACCCCCAGGGGTCTATGATAACCTGCTACGTCAGCGAAAAAAAAATTTTCGGGGTCCATGAAATGAAAATGGGGTCCACGATAGTGGATCTCAACATACACTGATAGTACCTATTTACTTACATTATAATATCTTATAATATAAAGACATATACATTATTTATACAAGTACCTATGAAGTAAAAAAAATATTATATATGTTTATAAAATTGTGTAAGTTGTGGGATGTAGGCATTCGCTTTGTGGTCGCAATACATTTTGAACTTGTAAAAACCTGCACATAATGATATACCTGTATCATCTTGTTACAAGCATACGCGCAGTCTTAGAGCAAAGATCTTAATAATTATAATGTGCCAATATAAATAATATGCATATCCTTCTCACTAAAAACATTTACTTATTGCTTAGTTTATTTTATGTTACGTATATTTTATATAACAGATATAAAATTTTGTTTTGAGTATTTTAATTTAAATTCAATTAATAAATGTATATAACTTAACATGTGTTTTTACTTTAAGTTTTTAACTTCACTACAGTTAGAAATTTACAAAAAATCAATATCAGGTAAGTAGGGGGTCTACCCAAAACCGAAAACATGGGAACCTCTGTTTTTTATTATTAAAATTTACATTAGGAAATTCACTGGTTACGAAATCTGTTTATTAAACATAGACTAGAAAGATATTAAAACTAAAAATATGTTATTCAAATATACACAAATACATAATGTATTCGAAAATAAATAAGAAACGTGTTTATACAATTAGTCTTGCTGTGTCCTCAAAGTTTTGCAATTTATTTTTATTAAAAATGCATATAAGTTAAAATCCGAGGAAGCAATTTTAAAGCAAAATGTTCGTCCACATCGCGTTTGTCTTCTCAATTGTAGTCATTGCAAATGCTGCAGAATTACGTAAGTAATCATAATTAAATTCTGAAATAATACTTAATATAATTGATTGATTTCAGCTCCATTCATAACAGCTTGCAGTCGACATTCCTTGAACTTGAATGATTGCATTGCTAATAACATAGAAGCTGCAAAACCGTTTTTAGTGGAAGGATCACCCGAACTATCCATACCAAGTTTAAAACATTTCATTATTCCGTACTCTTTTATCAACAGATCCAACTTTGAATTCGGAGTGTGGAACTTCAATCTTACAGGGCTCGAAAATTTCAATGTCCTGAAAGTTGATGCAGATCTACAAAAGAACCTCTTTAAATTCCAACTCGGTATTCCTTATGGTGAAGGTTTTGGATCATATAGTTGCAAAGGCAAATTGCTCAATTTCAATATTGATGCCACAGGATTACTCATAGGCAACATCAGTAAATTCCATGCGTTCGTAATAAGCAAATTAAAATATTTAATATATTATTATTTTAGCAAAATTAATTTTTAATTTAGAGCTGAAAGCCAAGCTAGTCCAACGCAATGGATCCACGTACTTCCAGCAGGAATACAGTCATATCGATGCAAGTACTGATAGTGTTTATTACCTATACATGGACAATTTGTATTTGGGAAACACGGAGATTACAGAAATTATGAACAGAATTTTGAATGAAAATAGTTATTATATGTTCGAGCTTCTTATTGATGTTCTTGAAAACTATCTAGATACGGTGCTAGTCAAAGCTATTGATACTTTCTTCGAATCTTATACGTATGATGAGCTTTTGCCCTAAGCAGTATTAAATAATATACATTTAAAAAAATATGATTATATTTAAGTTGTTATTATTGTTCACTCTTTTTGTATATTTATTCATAAGATAATTTAAAAAATAATAAATGTTTTCGATTCATTAACATTTCAAGAATTTCTCCAATTGCAGCACCTCTGTTGCAGACATTCCTATTGCTTCGTCTTATATTTGTGAATTGTGTTCTAGTCATTTATTAGATTATGTTATGTACCAATATTTTGCATTTAACATATTTGTTTTGTTCATTTCTGGCTTGCCATCATTTATTCTTCAGCTTAAATTGTTTATAAAATTTTGGTGAAAAGTATGACTTGTAACTTAAAGAAAGCATTTGAAATTTAACGCTAAACTTTATACCATTAAAATTTACATTGAATTAATATCTAAGCAATATTTAAAAAAGAATATATAATAAAGTATATACTACTTTCGAAACGTGTTTAGGTAATTAAATCTTGTGGTATCATCAAAGTTTTATTTGTATTTTATTTTTATTAGAAATATATATAAGTTAAAATCCAAGAAAACTATTTTAAAGCAAAATGTTCTTCCACATTGCACTTTTATTTTCAATTGTATTCATTGCAAATGCCGCAGAATTACGTAAGTAGTTATAACTAATTCATGAAATAATACTTTTATATAATTGATTGATTTCAGCTCCATTCATAATACCTTGCAGTCGACATTTGTTAGACTTGAATGAATGTATTTCTAATAACCTAGAAGATGCAAAACCGTATTTAGCGGAAGGAGTACCCGAACTATCCATACCAAGTTTAAAACATGTCACTATTCCGTACTCGTTTATCAACAAAACGAACTTTGAATGCGGAGTGTGGAACTTTAATATTTCAGGATTCGAAAATTTCAATGTCCTAAAAGTTGATGCAGATCTAAAGAAGAACCTCTTTAAATTCCAACTAGAGTTTCCTGCTGGTGAAGCTATTGGATCATATGGATGCAAAGGCAATTTTCTCAATTTAAATATGGATGGCACAGGACCATTCGAAATTAACGCCAGTATATTCCAATTATTTTTATCATGATAATTAAAATATTTAATATATTAATATTTTAGCACAATTAATTGTAAATTTAGAGCTGAAAACCAAGCTAGTTCAACGCAATGGATTAACTTACTTCCAACAGGTGTACAAGCATTTAGATGCAAGAATTGATGGTGTTTTTTTCTTCTATATGCATGATTTGTATTTGGGAAACAATGAGATCACGGAAATTATGAATAGAATTTTGAATGAAAATAGTATGTATGTGTTTAACGTGCTTAGTCCAATTCTTAAAGAACGGTTAGGGAGTCTGCTAGACAAAGCCATTGATAATTTCTTCGAAATTTACACGTATGATGAACTTTTGCCTTAAGCGATTCTACTACTAGATTCAATTGAATAATATATGAAAAAATGTATTTGTATTTAATCTTTTTCAGAAGATAATTTAAAAATAAAGAAATATTCAAATAATTACTCCGTCAAACTGTATTATTGTGTTGGCAACTAAGTGTTTGCTTATTTGCAATCTCACGTGTGATGCTATGACTATCTGAATCGATAATGGGTGTCATCAACGATCTGGCCGTTGCAAATTTTTTAGTAAAAAATTTTCAGAATGAAATTTGGCAAACTAATTTTGATACTGCCTTTTTTAAGGCTTCATTCTCATATACGGAACATAACTTCTTGTGATGCCGTTTCGGATATAATACAATAAAATACGTCTAATATGCGCGTCTTCTTTCATTTTTAAAACGGTATAAAAACAAAACTAAATAACTAATCCATATATTTTTTTTTTACTAAATTAAAGGTGGAAGTTCAATAAGAAAACAGTGCTTTTAGCACGTTGATAAAAAAAAAAGAATATGCTAAGACCGCAATTACTTAGTTGCCAGCACAATAGATATGGATATATTAGAAATTTTATTTGAAATAGTCAAGAAAAAAACATTAACAATGGAATATTTCACTAAATTAAAAATAACTGTTGCTTAAGTGATCATTTAAAAACTAAAATTATGCCAGTGGTCCATCCTGGGAAATCTGTGATTCTGATTCGAATAATAATATAATTGGTATTGTAAATAAAAGTGTGAATAAATTATATATTTTTTATTGACACCAATTATATTATTTCGACATATACATCATGTAGTTTTTCTTAATTTAGATATAAAATCATATAGATTTATTTACACTTGAAGTAATTTTACTATTCATGCAGATGTTCTGTTTGCATGCAGTAATCATTACGCTTTGTTTTGTATTTGTGAATTGTATTGTAGTATCTTTTTTTTTTAATTGATCGCATTAAATCGATTGAAACGAATAATATAATAGAATATAACATCTTAGAAATTATAATATAATTTATCAAGTAATGTTTACTAAATATGATTAACAAATAACGACTGGACAAGGATACAAATCAAAAGTATGTTTTTGTACATACAAACAAATAAATACTGCTTTTTAAACGTGTTTAATTAATTAAATCATGCGTTGTTGTTTTGTTTCTAATTTATTTTTATTAAATATATATATAAGTTCAAATACGAGAAATCAAATTTAAAGCAAAATGTTCTTCCACATCGTACTTGTATCCTCAATTTTAGTCATTGCAAATGCTGCAGAATTACGTAAGCAGTTATAACTAATTTATGAAATAACACTTTTATATAATTGATTGATTTCAGCTTCATTCATAATACCTTGCAGTCGATATTTATTAGACTTGAATGAATGTATTTCTAATAACCTAGAAGATGCAAAACCGTATTTAGCGGAAGGATTACCCGAACTGTCCATAGCAAGTTTAAAAAATAGCATTATACCGTACTCATTTATCAATAGATCCAATATTGAATTTGGAATGTGGAACCTCAAAGTTACAGGACTCGAAAATTTCAATGTCATAAAAGTTGACGCAGATCTAGAAAAGAACCTTTTCAAAATCCAAATCGGGTTTCCTTATGTTGAAGGTAATGGACCATATATATGCAAAGGCAATTTATTCAATTTAAATATTGATGGCACAGGAACTCTCAAAGTCGACGCAAGTAAATGCCAAATATATTTGCAAAGAAAATTAAAATATTTAATATATTATTATTTTAGCAAAATTAATAATGAATTTAGTGCTGAAAACCAAACTAGTTGAACGAAATGGTTACATATACTTCCAGCGAGTATTTAAGCATCTCGATATAAGTACTGATGGTGTTTTTCATATGGACATGCACAATTTGTATTTGGGAAACACAGAGATTACGGAAATTATGAATAGAATTTTGAATGATAATAGTTATTATATGTTTGAAGTTCTTGTTCCCATTCTAGAAAACCATTTAGATAACCTGATATGCAAAGCTATTGATAATATCTTCGATATTTACACGTATGATGAGCTTTTGCCTTAAAACAAACAAACAGTTCAATTTTATTATATATACAAAAATATGTTTGTATTTAAAGTATTATTAGTGTTTGCTTTTATTATATAGTTTTTCATAAGATATTTTAAAAATATGGAATTATTCAAATAATCTCTCATTATAAAAAGTTACATTCTTATGATGACTGTATTAGATGATATAGTTACAAAGAAAATTATATGAGTAAACAAATGTAAGCACAAAAATGTAAATACTAACATTATTTACTAAGATATTATTATTTAATTCAATCAGATGTAGAAAACCTTGATTGCAATTTAAACAAAAAATATATGAACTTTTTACTATTCAAATTATATTGATTTCTTAATGAAACAATGTTTAACGACTGGTAAATGATAAAAACTAAAAATATGTTAATGGAATATACATTCAAAACGTGTTAGGTTAATTAAATCTTGCGAAATAGTCAAAGTTTTATTTTTAATTTATTTTGATTAAAAATATATATAAGTTAAAATCCGAGAAAATAATTTTAAAGCAATATGTTCTTCCATATCGTAATTGTATCCTCAATTGTAGTCATTGCAAATGCTGCAGAATTACGTAAGTAGTTATAACTAATTTATGAAATAATACTTTTATATAATTGATTGATTTCAGCTCCATTCATAACACCTTGCAGTCGAAATTCGTTAGACTTGAATGAATGCATTTCTAATAATATAGAAGCTGCAAAACCGTATTTAGAGGAAGGATCGCCCGAATTATCCATACCAAGTTTAAAACATATCGTTATTCCATACTCATTTATAAACAGATCCAACTTAGAATGCGGAGTTTGGAACTACAATGTTACAGGGCTCGAAAATTTCAATTTGTTGAAAGTTGACGCAGATCTAAGAACGAACTTGTTTAAATTCCAATTCGAGTTTCCTTATGTTGAAGGTATTGGACAATATGGATGCAAAGGCAATTTGCTTAATTTAAATATTGATGGCACAGGATTACTCCCAGTCAACGGCAGTAAAATTACAGCATTCTTACCATAAAAAGTAAAATATTTAATATATTATTATTTTAGCAAATCTAATTCTGAATGTAGAGCTGAAAACCAAACTAGTTAAACGCAATGAATTTACTTACTTCCAGCAGGTATACAGGCATGTAGATGTAAGTATTGATGGTGTTTTTCACTTGTACATGTACAATTTGTATTTGGGAAACACGGAGATAACGGAAATTATGAATAGAATTTTTAATGAAAATAGTTATTATATGTTTGAACTTCTTATTCCCATTCTTGAAAACCGTTTAGATAATCTGCTAGGTAAAGCTATTGATAATTTCTTCGAAACTTACACGTATGATGAGCTTTTGCCTTAAGCAAAACTACTACTATGTTCAATTACATATATATCAATAAATGTATTTGTATTTAAGGTGTTATTATGGTTTACTTTTTTATAATATATTTTATAAATTAAAGAAATATTTAAATCAATTGTATTTATTTACATTTTAAGAAGTTTAAACGTCTTCATATATAAACAGTGGAATCTCGCTTAATGAGCGACGTTTTGAGAAAAGAAGTCCCGGTCTGCTATATCATTTTAAAACTTGTGTACACATAATATGTGTATTTTTTTAATATGTTTCACTATACGAGTAAAAATCCCGAAATTTTGGAACGGATTAAATCGTTACGCGAGGTTCGACAGTATATTATAAATTTTAAATTGAATTCCTAGTCCGATTTAAACATTAATTTTAAGTGAAATAGTGAGAAAAGAGATATTATACAGAGCATGGAATAATGTAATTAGTTCTTTATTAATTATTTTCTGGCATGATATGAGTTACTAAAACTGATTTGTATGAAATGACTCACCTGCTACATCATTTTAAAACTTGTGTACACATTTTATGTGTATTTTTTAATATATTTCAAAAATTTTGGAACGGATTAAATCGTTACGCGAGGTTCGACAGTATATTATAAAATTTAAATTGAATTCCTAGTCCGATTTCATTAATAAGTGAAACTGTGAGAAAAGAGATATTATACAGAGCATGGAATAATGTAATTAATTCTTTATTAATTATTTTCTGGCATTATATGAGTTACTAAAACTGATTTGTATTAACACATTTTGTGCTGGTAGCCCGTTGCGACAACTGCATCATGTAGCGGCCAAAATTCCGTATTTTTGTTGTTTTGATGATAGTTGTGGTATGCTTTACATGTAAAATTCGATGTGACAATTTATTCCAATTTAAAAGACAATAAAGAGATATAAAGAGATTATAGAATTTACTTATTTTATGCATTACAACATATATTTTTTAATACTTTAGTAATGTATGAAACTTTTCGAAACACTGACCTCTATGAACGAGTCAATAATAAACGTACGAGTTTACGATATTTTATAATTTTGGAAGTATTATAAACTTTAAAAGCACAGTCTTTCACACCATGGAATTATACTTCCATCAAGATATAAACTTCGACGTCAATAGGTCTAATAGTCGGTCGTTTTCGTCCACAATATTCTCATTGTTAGAAGAACAAAATAAGCGGTAATTGCTTTCCATTTCACAGATTTCCTAAAATCTCTAAATAGCTCCTCATTTTGGTAATGGTGCCGATTGCTTTCTTCTGCCATTAATTCAGATAAATCGTCTCCAATAAACAATCTTACAAACATTTTATTGATTGTTTGAGAAACTGTTCACACCAGCGCGTCTCAAAAATTCCTTTATTTTAGGTGGATTGTCTATTGCCGACCAGTCTTCATGTTTGTCTTCATCTTCGGCCTCATTTTTATTTCCTTCAACATATTTGAGAGCGGCAAAATTGGAACTCTTCACCTACGTGAGAAGACGTCACTTTATAGAGTGATAGTGACGTCGTCCCACTTTCATAATCAAACGCAGATAAACTATTATCATTCGAATGATTGGATAA